ATCTCTTATGTGGGACTTTGTCAAATGCTTTCTGAAAGTCCAAATATACTCCATCGACTGGCTCCCCCCTGTCAACTCAACTCGTTACATCTTCATAGAATTCTAACAGATTTATCAAGCATGATTTCCTCTTCATAAATCCATGCTGACTCTGTTTGATCCTGCTGTTGCTTTCTAAATGCTCTGCTATAAAATACTTGATAAATGATTTGAGAATTTTCCCCACTACCGATGTTAGGCTCACCGGTCTATAATTCCCTGTTTTCTCTCTACCTCCTTTTGTGAATATTGCAGTGACATTAGTCACCCTCCAATCTGCAGAGACTGTACCAGAGTCTATAGAATCCTGGAAAATGACCACCAATGCATCCACTATTTCTCGAGCTACTTCTTTAAGTACTCTGGGATGTAGATTATCAGGCCCTGGGGATTTATTGGCTTTCAATCCCAACAATTTTCCCAGCACCATTTCTGTACCAATATTGGTCTCCCTCAGTTCTTACCTCTCACTAAATCCTGCATCCTCCACCAAAGCTGGTATCTGATTTGTGTCCTTTTTCGTGAAAACAGAACCAAAGTACGTATTCAGTTCCTCAGCCATTTCTTTGTCCCCCATTATACATTCCCCCGTGTCTGTCTGTATGTCTATTCTGTATGTAGGGGACCTACATTTGTTTTTACCAATCTCTTTCTCTTCACATACCCATAGAAACTCTTAGTGTCAGCCTTTATATTCCCTGCAAGCTTACTTGTGTACTCTATTTTCTCCTTCTTAATCAATCCATTGGTCCTTCTTTGCTGAATTCTAAACTGCTCCCAATCCTCAAATTTATTATTTTTCTTTGCCAATCCGTAGGCTTCTTCCTTGGATCGGATAATATCTCTTATTTCCTTTGTAAGCCATGGATTGGCCCTCTTACCCATTTTGCTTTTGCAACAGACAGGAATAAACAGTTGTTACATTCCCCCATGCGTTCCTTGAATGTTTGCTTTAAATAACTCTCGCCAATCTATCAAGGCCAACTCGTGCCTCATATCCTCATAGTTTCTTTTATTAAGGTTCATCACCTTAGTCTCCGAATCAACAACCTCACTCTCCATTTTGATAAAAAAAACATTCTATCATGTTATGGTCACTCTTCCCCAAGGAGTCTCACACAGCTAGATTGGCAATGATTCCCATTTCATTACACAGCACCCAGTCTAAGATGGCCTGCTCTCCAGTTGGTTCCTCCATATATTAGTCATGAAAACCATCCCTTATACACTTCAAGGAATTTCTCCTCTACGGCATTGTGGCTAATTTGATATGCCCGATCTATGTGCAGATTAAAATCACCCATGATCACCGATATTCCCTTATCACATGCATCTCTAATCTTAATGCCATTCTCAACATCACCACTGCAGTTTGGGGCTTTATATACGGCATCTACTAATTTTTTTTGCTCCTTGGTATTTCTCAACTCCACACACAGACGCTTTGAAGATAAAGTGGATCGGTTAGGAATCTATTTAGTGGGATTTAGAAGAATGAAGGGTGATCTCATAGAAACGAATAAAATTATAACACAAGAAGGATGTTCCTGATGACTGGGTAGTCCAGGACCAAGGGTCACAGTCTAAGGATTCGGGGCAGGCCATTTAGGGATAAGATGAGGAGAAATGTCTTCAACTGGAGAGTTGGAAGCCTGTGGAATTCTCTGCCAAAGAAAGAGGTTGAGGCCAAAACACTTAGGTGTTTTCAAGGAGGAGTTAGATATAATTCTAATGGTTAAAGGGATCAAAGAGTATTGGGAGAAAGTGGGAATAGGGGACTGAGTTGGATGATCAGCCATGATCATAATGAACAAAAACAAAGTTGCTGGAAAAGCTCAGCAGGTCTGGCAGTATCTGTGAAGGAAAACACAGGGTTAACGTTTCGGGTCCGGTGACCCTTCCTCAGAACACCTGTTAGCTCTGTTCAGCAATGACTCAATTTTAAAATTCTGATCCTTCAATCAAACCCTTCCATAGCCTCTTGCATCTCTATCTCCAATACCTCCTCCAGCTCGACAAGCCTTTTGATCCCTATACTTCTTCGATCTTGTCACTCTCATTCCTTCACTCCAACACTGGCAGCCATATCTCCAACTGCCTGTCTGTTGTAACCTCAGAAATTCACTCTCTAAACTTCACTGCACTGCTCTGTTTCTGCTCCTTTAAAATTATGGATGGCCAATGGGCAGTACAGTGGCTCCGTGGTAAACACTGCCAGGAGCCCAGGCTCAATTCCAGCCTCAGGCAACAGTTTGGAGTTTGCACATTCTCCCCATGTCTGTGTGGGTTTCCTCACACAGCCCAAAGTTGGGCAAGTTGGGTGGGTTAGCCATGGTAAATTGCCCATGGTGTCCAGGGTATGTGCAGACTATGTGAGGTAGTCATAGGAAATGTGGGGTAACAGGGATGGGGTAGAGTTGAGTGAGATGCTCTTCAGATGGTCAGTGTGGACTCAATGGGCCAAAAGGCTTGCTGCCACAATATAGGGATTTTATGATTAAACATTGTCCTGGATTCACTCCCATCCATGAAATAACTTCTTCTTTAGAAGAATGAGCTCCTTTATGTCAGATTAGTGCCACTCCTTTATAAACACAACCTGCATATTTGGCACTGATTCCAGAGATGAAGGGCTGAATGGCCTCCTGCGTTGTAAACATCCGAGTGTAAAAGCACAAGCCAGTTAATACCAAGATTAACGTCTGGAATTTCCCTCTCTGTGGGTGCTCATACTTGGGATATATCCCAGCTCCACAAACCCAGCCTGGGATGAAGTGGCCCAGAAGTCGAGATTCTTATTCTGGGCTGGTGGAGTTCCCTGGGATAAGAGATGAAGTTGCTGAGGGCAGTGACAGGCTGTGCAGACAGACTACCCTGCACATTGGCATGGTACTTAGATTGAAGGACTCCTATCCCCATCCAGTAACAAACTGACCCCTTCCATAGGTGTCCCAGGCTATTCAAACAGAGCCACCTGGTTCAGACCTGCTCCTCCCAGGTCTAATGTGCACCCTCCTTATTTCACACAACCAGGTCACCCACACCCACACATACATATGAAAAACACATGTGCCAAATGCAATCCACTCTGTAAAAGCAGGAGGCACTGTACTTAGCAGGATGATCCCTGGCTTTCAGCCACACCCACCATGATAGAGAGACGCTCCATTGAAAATCCTGGCCCAAGTCTTAGTTTGAAACATTTACTAGGTATTGTTCATGGAGAACAGTTCATACTGAAGATTACAGTCTTTAAAGATGAGATGAGATTGTATGACAGGTACAGACTCCTCAGAGGCTGCTCTGCATCTGTAATACAACCCTCCAGGTAAAAAGATCCTGGCTTCATAGGAGAGATCCTGTGCAGTTTGTGGTTCCTGCTTGGTGTTGGGTCCAGAGATTCACATGTGGCCCAAATGTCTCTGGAAAGCAAGGCTCTCTGCTTCTATTCTCTCCTGATTGCAATGAGCCTAGGACAAGAGGCCAATGGGAGGGGATGGGAACAGAGTCCTTGTGATCACTGAGTCGATGACCTCTGCTTGCCAGTTGTATTGTGTACTGCCAACTTACCAAACTAGTGATGTGTCTCGAGAACCAGAGTCACTGCCAGGTAAGGTCAGGGGAGTTCCTTAACCCCAAGACATTAAAATCCCTGCACTTGGCTCACTCAATAAACTGACAACCGTATGGTCACTTTTACTTACTCCTGCTTTTTTAAAACTAAATCCCAACTTGCAAACTGCTCCCAGTGGGATTTGAACTTGATCAATAGATTATTGCTCAAGTGACTGAGCAACTGGAACCCAATGATTATAAAACTCTCAATACCCTGCCACCATCCCCCCACAAAGTCTATATCCATGGTGATGGGACGATAGCTTTGAATGATCTTTAAAAGCTTGCTAATTGCTGCTGACCCATCCACTAGATTCTGCTTCTGGGCTCAGTTAGCCACAGTGATACCAACAGTGCAGGTTCAATCCCCACACCGGCTGAGGTTACCATGAAAGTTGGTTTACCTGAAGAAGGTGCAGCTTTTCAAGGAGAGAAACCACTCCAGTACCTGAAGGGCAATAAATGATGATCGCGCCAGCAACCCCCACTGAACATGATAAAACCGGCTCGCTGGGGAATACAACATCCTCCCACTCAGGTCAGGAACTATAAACCGGACCCTTGGTGGCTTCCCTCGAGAACCACAGACCTGAAAGTATTTCAGGATGAAAGGCCCTAACAATATCGAATCAGATACATCTCTGAGAGAAAGAGCCAAACTCCTCATTCTGTGACAGGCAGCCAGCAATGACGGCAGCAGGAATTATCGAGTCTACTAGCCTACCTGTACATACTGTATCTCCCCACCTCACCACCCCCCGCCACCAACCAACTGCTCAATGTGCTGTCTGTTTGTACTAATGCTGTCATTCTTTTGAATGCTTACCCTTCCCCAGACTGCACCATGGGTATGGCATTGGTTTGATTATTTTATTACAAATAACTGCACTCGGATATCACACAGGGCACTGCCCCAGAAAGTACTTTCCTTAAGATAAATGATGTCAGTGCAGTGAACTCTCCTGCTGTTACAAACAGAGGCATTGACAGCTAAAGCTGGGCCTTGGCTTAAAACTCTCACCCAAAAGATAGCACCTTGACAGTGCGGCACTCCTTCAGCACTGACCCTCCGACAGTGCGGCTCTCCCTCAGCACTGACCCTCCCACAGCACAGCACTAACCCTCTGACAGTGCAGCACTCCCTCAGCACTGACCCTCCCAGTGTGGAATTCCTTCAGCGTTGGATTGTAATTTTGCTCCAGCGTCTGGACTGGAACTTGAACCTGTCGCCATCTGACTCAAATAAGAACACTCCTCGCTGAGTCATTGGTGATGCGTTAATTACACCCAATTATCATGGGAAACCCCTCTACAAAATTGTTGCACCATCGAAGAAGCAACTACTGTTAAGTTCTTCCATTTAATGAGTACTTTCCCTGACTTCCTGAGATTTCTGAGCCTTAGCCTTCAGTTCCTCCATTCCATTGCGAATATGTTGAATGACTGGCTTGTCAGCCTTTGACTCTGCTTGTGTCAAAGCCTCTTCATAAACAAGCCTGGCTTCATGGTACTGCCCTGTTGGTAAAGGAGAAGGAAATCAGAGGTTGATATTGAACAACATACTTGCAGTTTCCTAAAGCATGGAGTTATTTATGGGTCAGAAGGAGACTATTTGGCCCATCAAGTCTATATTGATTCCCACTGGAGCATGCCAGAGAGTCCCACACCCTCTCAATCCTGCAAGTTTATTTCTCTGAAATTCCCAACTAATTTCTTTTTGAAATCTTTCTTCATCTCTGCTTCCAGCCCGTTCACAGGCAACTAGCTTCAAGTCATTACCACTGAAAAGTTTGCTTCACTTTCCTCACCATCTCTTTCTCAAAACTTTCCATCACTGTTGCCTAGTCCTTGTACTATCAGCAACTGTAATGTCGGCTAATGGTTATGGTGCAGGAGGAGACCATTCAACCATTGTGTCTGTACTGGCTCTCCAATAGAGCAACATAATTAGATTCACTTTCCCCACATTCTCCCTAAAACCTTAGGATGATAATGGAATAGTTTAGGTTAGATGGGCTTCAGATTGGTTTCACAGGTCGGCGCAACATCGAGGGCCGAAGGGCCTGTACTGCGCTGTAATGTTCTTTGTTCTATGTTCTATGTAACCTTGGACAGACACATAATAGGAACCACATGGTAGGCTGGGGCACTTGTACAAGCCCAAGGCAGAGCACCCCCGTGGCTTTATGAAAGGGAAATCATGTTTAATCAATTTATTGCAGTTCTTTGAGAAGGCAACACATATTATGGATAAATCAGAACAAGTGGATTTACTTAGATTTCCAGACGGCATTTGATCAGGTGTCGTATCAAAGGTTATTGCAGGAAATAAAAGGTCAGTGTGTAGGTGCTAAAGCTGTGGTGTGGCTAGAGCAGGAAAAGTGACTGTTCCCCCTTTCTTCATGGTAGTGCAGTGCAAGAATCTGGCCTCCAACGATCTACCCCACACCCACCCTCCCCATTCCTCAGTGGTTCAGCACTGCCATTACCTCTGTGCATTAGAACCCTGGCCAAGTTACTGAGAATCACACATTGGTCTGGGTGGCTGGTCTCTCTCGCCAGGTTTGAGGCTCTTGTCACGTATTCATAGGCCCGGTCCTGATGGCCCTTCATGTCCAGTACGGTGGCAAGATCGTTCATCAACACCACTGTCTGTGTGAAGGACAAAGCGGGAGGAGGGAGGGAGAAAGAGAGAGAGCGCGAGTCAGGGGTTGGGGGGGGGGGGGGGGGAGGGGGGGG